AGAAGTGAGTGAGGGCGCTGTTCAACTCTGCTCTTCATCACCACAAAAACCGAGTGAAAGAGGAACAGGACGTTAGCGTTAGCGTTAGCGCTGCCTGTGCTCGTACCACACCAGCCCACACAGTAACTCACACTGAGCACTGATCACCTCTGAACAGAGATCAATACTGGTTTAGGCTCGTTTTCTCCCTCGTTTCTCAGGTTTGGACACCTGTGTGTAAACTGTCTCAAGTCCATTAGGATATCTCAGACCAAAAAACATGGAAATGGGAATACTGGAACTCTGGAAAGGTGTATAGTGTGATCACAGAAATCGTACTATTGTAACTATGGAAACGTGGGTAGTGGAACCACATAAATGGGAATGCTGTAACCATGGAAACGTGAGAAGAGCAACCACGGAATTAGGAACATTGTAACCATGGAAACGTGTGTAGCATAACCACAGATATGGGAATATTGTAATCGAGGAAATGCGTGTAGCATGACCACATAAATGGGAATGCTGTAACCATGGAAACAAGTGTAGCGTAACCACAGAAATGGGAATATTATAACTATGAAAATGTGTGTGGTGTAACCATGGAAATGGGAACACTGTAACCATGGAAACCTGTGTAGTATAACCACAGAAATGGGAATACTGTAACCATGGAAACGTTTAGTGTCACCACAGACGTCGGTGTAAATTAACTATAGACGTCGGTGTGACGTATGGACTTGGCTGTAGTGCAGTGGTCACCAACCCTTGTCCTGGACATCTACTTTCCTACAAAGTTCAGTTCCAGCTGTAATCTGCCACACCTGCCTCAGCTAATTAACCACGTCAGACGACCCTGATTGGCTGGATCAGAGCACTAGTGCTACCTGAGTGGTGGGACAGCATGTTAGACGCAGGTTGGAACTAAACTCTGCAGGAAAGTAGATCTCCAGGAGGAGGGCTGGTGACCACTGCTGTACTGTAACCATGGAAACAGTGAACCTGATCTGTATATTAGAGGTGTATCTGTATTTTGGAGGAGGTTTATCCATCAGTCCATGTTATAATTCCTATAATCTGGATTACGGGCAGTAAGAGAACGCCTCACTATTACAGACTTCACCACAACTTTGGAGCACTTTAACAGTGGAAGGCAAAAAAATTGGATTTTGAAAATTGGGAGGGCATGTCCTTCTGTCCTCAGCGCAAACAATATCCTATAGTCTATGATCTTGACTGATGTTCTGATCTAAAAGATGCATAAACTGTTGAAACTGTTTTCTACCACAAACCGAAATAGTAACTGATATATATGTAGCAAATTATTTCAAAAATACATTAAACATATATATTAATCAGTGTGTGCTCATAACCGTGAGTTGGCTATTCCAGGGTTATCTGTTCTGACCTTTAGGCAGTTGGGGTGGACGATCTCGTTGCAGATGGAGCACTCCATCAGCATGGCGTTAAACTTCTCCTCCTCATCGTCCAGCGTGTCCTCCTTACCGGCCTCTCCACACACCACACACACCGCTGTGTGAGGCAGCACAGGCTGCAGAAACGCACGCATACAAGCTCTTTAATCTCAAATATTACACTATTATTGTAAAACATAAACATAAACATTTTAATATTACATAAATCAGATGTAGCCAGTCATATAGGAAAAAACTACTTATTTATTTTCTTAACGTTGTGACTTATTAACTCGTATTACTGAGTTATTAAGATGGAATTCTGGTACACTACATCAATGTAATGAGTTATTAAAGGGCCCGTATCAAGGAAAAACTCATTTCTGTAATAAGAGTTTGATGTAGTACGTAGCAAGTTCAGAAATGTACCTTTACCCTCCCAGTTCAAACAGTCCAAATATGAAAAACTGAAAAAAAACAGGCTGTTTGGAATCATTTTTGTGATGTCACAAAAATCAACACAATTCCTCATATCTGCCTATTCAGCCTACTGCAGTTTAGCTCCGCCTTTACAATGAAGTTATATGGAGCATTTCAGCCTCGACTGATTTTTCAGAATAAAAGTAGCCAATCAGAGCAGAGCTCATTTACATACATCAGCCTTAAAGGCACCATTAAATATGACTTTTTTCTGCACATTTATGTGCACAATTTTTTATTTATTCGAAAAAAATACCAAAATATAGGTGCCATAACTTTTGCACAGGTCACATTATGTTTTATTTTGCCCTCATCTTTTTTAAATCCAGTAAAAAAATTCCATCTTGTGATGTCAGAAAAAACAGCATATTTACACACAGAGTCATATGTGATAGTTTTAAATTACATTTTGTTGATTTTCTAAGATAATAAGTTCATCCTCTACAGAGACCCACTTAAATACGCCATTTTCTGCACATCTTCTCTTTATTTCCTGAGTTTAACACACAAAACAAGACATAAAACGGGCACAGGCCACATCTTGAGTTCCATTTCTCCTCCTTAATGTGGTAAATTTGTCAAATAAACAGTAACTGTGTACTACAGTGTGCAGCAGTGAGTCTCTGTGGAGGAGGTTTAACTTATTTACACTGGCCTGGGGTGCCCAGACTTCTTCACACGACTGTGCGTCATGCCCCTGCACTGTGAGGGTGTTTGGGGGTCTTACAGCGATGCACTGCCTCATAATGCAGGACTGCTTCATGCGTCCCGGCCCGCCGAACTTCTTCATGTCTTTACAGAAGTGGCACTCTCCGCACTCCGTCCGCACGCACGCCTCGCACTTCCTGCACCGCGTGCGCCGCCGCCGCGCCCCCGACGAGCTCCGATTGGACGGCAGCTTCACCGCCGCCGGCGTGGACGACGTCGAGGACGACGCTGTGGCCGCAGCCGGTGTGGACGGGGCCGCCATCTTGGGTTTGGGCCGATTCGCTGGCCGCTGCTGTCAGAGATGGAAAGAGGAGATTTACAGTGAATACAGTGACACCAAACACAGCACCTTCAGAGGGAAACTCCACCAATTCTTCAGAATTCCCCATAATTCAGTGATTTTAGGTGTAAACAGAGTAATTCAGAGTGGTTTGGTGTGAAATGGTTCAAATGTCTTTTCAGTGGTGGTGATAGGAACCAGGGGTCGCCATGACTACAACACAAATATAGACATTTTATTTACTATCCAGAACCACCAGTGAACCTACACGAGTCTTCTGAGTTTATATGGAATGTTGATGATGGAAAATAGTGGAAAATCTGAAATAATAGAAATGATAACTTTTCTTTGGCCTCACAGTGTCATACATGAACCCCTCCACCATAAATACACTGCAAAAAAGGGAGAGAAATGATCTTAAATCTAGTCAGTGTGTCTAATATTTCTCATGTTGAGGTTGTTCAGCTTATTATAAGATCATTTAACTCATTTCCAGAAATGTAGGTGATTTTATCAAGTAGAATATCTCACTATATTGTCTGTTATTGCTATATTGACTGTTTTCTCTGAAATATCAAAACTAACAAAAATATCTGCCACTTTTATAAGAAATGATGCAAAACAAGTAGACATTGTCTAGAAATTAGTGAAATGATATAATAAGCTAAACAATCTGAACGTGAGAAATATTACATCTACTGACGAGATTAATCCATTTCAGAACCAAAATATGCTCAGAAAACAGGCAGTGAATTCATAACCATTTCATGTAGGAACTTTCTGTGAGGGAGCTTTTAGAGGTGGACGTCTGGTTCCTATCACCACCACTGTAAGCAGTTCTGACTGTAAGTTTCTCTAGAACGGAGCGTTTCACACCAAACCACTCTGAACCGCTCTGATTACATCTTAACCTTTTAATTATGCAGAAATTCTGAAAAAAATGGGTGGAATTCCCCTTTAAATTTACCATTATGTTCCCACTGTGTTCTTGCCTGTTCCGACGAAGTGACCCTTTTTAAAAATCTGCAGTCCATTACGTCATTTCTTGAGTCATGTGTTAAAGGTGTGACTCTTTCTACTGTTGTGTTACTCTACAAACTAAAAATATCATAAATAATAATAATGAGAAGAAGAAGAAGAAGTAGAAGAAGAAGAAGAAGAAGAAGAAGAAGAAGAACAACAACAACAACAACAACAACAACCACCTCTTCATTTTCTGATGCCACAGTAATTTTTTGTTTTGTAATCTATATCATCACCACAGCAGAGCTTCATTTCATTCCATTCATTCCTTCACTCATCCATCCATCATTTGAAAATCCCACTCTTCACACTGTCTGAACAGGTCATGATGAACGGACCAGCAGACATGATCTGAAATGACTCAAACTGCCCCGTTATGTTATTTCTAAACAAAAAGCTGCTGTTTGATTCTACAGTAGAGATAACAGAGCTGAGTCAGAGCTGAGCTGGACGGTAAATAAACCGCCTGCTGTTCTGAGTTTACACACAACACACTGACCACAGAGTCACTATTACAAACCACTAACACTCACAAACACTCCACATCACTGTCAGACAGCTCAGAGGGAGAGAGACAGAGAGAGAGAGAGAGTGTACAGAGAGAGAGAGAGAGAGAGAGAGACAGACAGACAGACAGACAGACAGACAGAGAGAGAGAGAGAGAGAGAGAGAGAGAGAGAGAGAGAGAGAGAGAGAGACAGACAGAGAGAGAGCGAGAGTAGAGAGACAGACAGAGAGAGAGAGAGAGTAGAGAGACAGACAGAGAGAGAGAGAGAGTACAGAGAGAGAGAGAGTACAGAGAGAGAGAGACAGAGAGAGAGCGAGAGTAGAGAGACAGACAGACAGAGAGAGAGAGAGTAGAGAGAGAGAGAGAGAGAGAGAGAGAGTTAGTTTACAGGCGAGGACAAGAAAAACACTGACATCTGCTTTAAACTGTGCAGTAAACGAATAAACTACATAATCTGAGCTCACTGCAATTCACACTGTCTGTGGCTCAGTCAGAGTAAACACTGCCACCTGCTGGCTGTTACAGAAGACAGCACCACTCAGACATCCACAAACTACTACACAGGAAACAGCAGTTTAGCCCCGCCCATTCAGGCTACAGCAGTTTAGCCCCGCCCACTCAGCCTACACCATTCACATTGAAGCTATAGTGTTTCAGCCCCGACTGCTTTTTGAAAAAGGCTCAATACAGGGCAGCCAATCAGAACAGAGCTCATTTACATATTTCAGTCTTAAAGGCACAGTAACAGAAGCCTGTTGAATTCTAAGGTAAAGAGGTTGGAAAACGATAATGTAATTTTTTGAGGTAGACTTAATCTCAGATATGTTGGGTGCAGAATACGGTCCCTTTAACGAAGACCTGTGTGTCCAGGATGTGGCCCCGCGTGAATCTCACGCTACACAGCGTCTTCATCACAATCAGCACATGAACCGCTTCACCAGACACTGACCCAGTGTTAGCGCTCCAGCTCCAGCGGCTCATGTGACTGACCGCTCTACCTCACTCAGTGCTGTCTGACCGAGTCTTTATGCTGACCGCTGTGCAGTGATTTAGATTACAGTCCTGTACACTGTGATACCAACCCATCAGGAAAACACAGAGTACCATTACTGACTATCAGACAGCACCAGGAGCCAGCAGACACTTTTAATGGTTTCTAGGATTATTTTTTAAGAAGGGGTGGTGACAGGAACCAGGGGTCGCCATGACTACAACACAAATATAGACATTTTATTTTCTATCCAGAACCACCAGTGAACCTATAGACTGTGTCTGGAACCGGTTCAGCCAGTTTACACTTAATAATCCAATAACTGCAGAGAATCAGATTGTGTCTGTAACTGGTTCAGACTGTTTAAGTTTAATAATCCGATAACTGCAGAAAATCAGATTGTGTCTGTAACTGGTTCAGCCAGTTTACGCTGAATAATCCAATAACTGCAGAAAATCAGATTGTGTCTGTAACCGGTTCAGCATGTTTACGCTGAATAATCCGATAACTACAGAGAATCAGATTGTGTCTGTAACCAGTTCAGTGTGTTTACGCTGAATAATCCGATAACTGCAGAGAATCAGATTGTGTCTGTAACCGGTTCAGCATGTTTACGCTGAATAATCCGATAACTACAGAGAATCAGATTGTGTCTGTAACCGGTTCAGACTGTTTAAGCTTAATAATCCGATAACTGCAGAAAATCAGATTGTGTCTGTAACTGGTTCAGCCAGTTTACACTGAATAATCCAATAACTGCAGAGAATCAGATTGTGTCTGTAACTGGTTCAGACTGTTTATGCTTAATAATCCGATAACTACAGAGAATCAGATTGTGTCTGTAACTGGTTCAGCCTGTTTACGCTGAATAATCCGATAACTGCAGAAAATCAGATTGTGTCTGTAACCGGTTCAGCGTGTTTCCGTTGAATAATCCGATAACTGCAGAAAATCAGATTGTGTCCGTAACTGGTTCAGCCTGTTTACGCTGAATAATCCGATAACTGCAGAGAATCAGATTGTGTCTGTAACTGGTTCAGCGTGTTTACGTTTTATAATCCGATAACTGCAGAGAATCAGATTGTGTCTGTAACTGGTTCAGCGTGTTTATGTTTAATAATCCGATAACTGCAGAGAATCAGATTGTGTCTGTAACCGGTTCAGCGTGTTTACGCTGAATAATCCGATAACTGCAGAAAATCAGATTGTGTCCGTAACTGTTTCAGCCAGTTTACGCTGAATAATCCGATAACTGCAGAGAATCAGATTGTGTCCATAACTGGTTCAGTGTGTTTACGTTTAATAATCCGATAACTGCAGAGAATCAGATTGTGTCTGTAACCGGTTCAGCGTGTTTGCGTTTAATAATCCGATAACTGCAGAAAATCAGAATGTGTCAGTAACTGGTTCAGCGTGTTTTCATGCTCTTGAGTAATCAGATAAAGGGAAACTCCAGGTCTACATGAGTCAGACAGTAATCAGATTTCTGCTTTACAACCGGCCAATAAACTCACAGAACAAAACGTGACGTAAACATAAAACTTTTTTTTTTTAAAACAAGTCACTTTAGCTGGAAATATGAACAAACATCATCTAGAAGATGAAGAATATTTAAATAACTTTGTCAAGCATGTATTTGGCTTCAGTGTCGCTCCAAAAGTGTTTTGCTGCGTCTCGTGGCGACGCTGCTCCCTTATTTCCGGTACCGCCGTCCGTTTTTACGCATGCTCAGACTGAGAAATCTGAAAGAAATCAGAGTAAGAGTCTACATGCACTGAGAAATCTGATTACTGAGCTAAAATCCAGCCTCTTTATCAGAATTCTTAATCGGATTTCTAGGTCGGAGTATATAAGTTTATCTAGAACGGAGAGTTTCACACCAAACCACTCTGAACTGCTCTGAACCGCTCTGTTTACAACTGGACCGTTTCATTAATTTAATTAATGCACGACTTTTCCTTTACATTAACTCTGCTACACTGTACTGCATTAGTCCTCTTACATCACATCAGCGAAGCCCTTTGAGTTTCTTCTGTGTATAATTTATGAGCTGAACACACGTCACGCTGTGAGCTGAGCAGCTGGGGTTCAGTTCTTCCTCAGGGTGGAGAGCAAAATCATCACCAGATCAGCACAACAGACAGAGAAACACCTTCAAAATCACTGGTGAAATTATTATATGAGTTATATAATTTAATTTATTGTCATTGTTATTCTATTCACTCAGCAGCCTCACGCTTTACTCCTCAGTACAGTAACACTCACAGCTGCACTGCAGCAACGGGAGAAATCGGCGCTCCTGCGAGGAGCGTTACCATGGCAACAGCCTGGTCCCCCCCATCGTGAATGAAATTATGGCAGGGACGGGAGAGGAAATAAATAAATAAATAAATAAATAAATAAATAAATAAATGAGTTGACGAGGCTGGCGGCAGCGTGGCTGTTTGTTTTTGTTTATTTCTCTGATGTTTGGTGTTGTGATGAGTCCAG